GACAGTTTAAAATATTTACATTTCTCTCTCTCTCTCAGTCAAACAGGTGGCTTTCTCAGCCTCTCTGTTGGCTAACGGCGCCGCCACTGTCGGACCCTTTCCTGGATTCACTACCATGGTCTTTAAAAATGTCGTCACAAACATTGGAAATGCCTACAACCCAAACACAGGTACCTGAACTCTGAAATCTTAACAACAAATTTCACTTTTTATTGTCAGTCTGATTGACAGTTGATTTTCCATTTAAAATGACAAATAAAATGCCCAACAGGTATGTTCACCCCGCCAGTGAAAGGAGCCTACCACTTCCAGTTTTACATAGGAGGTGCGTTTACAGGTTCCCACGGTACAGCTGCTGTGTTGGTCAAGAACAAACAGCGCACTTTTGCCACGTACGAGCAGCAGACGTCTGGGTTTGGAACTGCTACTAATGGCATTACACTGCTTCTGAACGTCGGAGATGTTGTGTTTATGCAACTGTGGTTTAATTCTGTCGTGTATGACAATGAAAATCACCATACCACCTTCAGTGGTCACCTGCTTTTCACTATGTAAGATGCAAACAGGTCTTCTTTCTCTTAACCTCTTTGGTATTCATGCAGGTTTTCTTGAAATGAATAAATCTGAATCACTGTAGCAATGAATACTCAACTTGTAATTTTCCTTTAAATAAAAGCTAGATGACAGAGCAGTGCAACAACATTTACATAAAATGTTGAGATATTTTCCATCTGTATCTGAGGCCGGATCTGCATACATAGTAATAATCTTCTTTTTTCTTCAGCTTCAAAGTGATTAATGTTTCTGATTCTCTTGTGATTTGAATTAAAGAATAAGCATAGCATCAATACTATCTGTGGACATTTCTTTATTATTTTTGTTTCAACTTTATTAACCATATTAATGTATGGAAACCAGAAAATCATGAAAAAAAGTTTAGTTAGTCGGTCATACCTTGAGCTGCTAATGTTACCATCAAAGCAGTGATGGTGATTCGAGGTTCGATGTAACCTTTTTATCCCCAAGGGGGATAATTTGGTACTATAATTATCAGTACCATTATTCACTTTCAGTCGGTACCACTACAACATTTACTGTCTGTATTTCTGCGTGGATCTGCACATTTCAATAAGTAGTAAACTGCAGTTGCAAGATGGTGAAGCAAGAAAGAAAACTGCTCATTTTGCCAGTTCACCTGACATTTTTCAGTGTTTCAGGTGTGTGAAATCAGTTGTGTCACGTGATGAACAGGCAAGTAATTACCATGATCAGTAGTGCTGAGAGAAAATAGTCTGGTGCATCTGTAATGTCAGAGAAACATGTCAAAAATCACCCTCAATACAATTGAACAGTCAAATTTAAATGATGCACAAAACACTCAAGATTTTGAGAAAAACAACCACACATATAGATTTGAAGAAGCTGCAAGTTACAGCGAAGCAAATCTTATTCAGCACTTAATTCCTGATTCAACAATTATCTTGTAAATGATTTGTCTTGTGTGTGATTGTTTTTCCCAAAATGCAAAAAATACAGCATGATACCGTTATCAAAGTATTCAGAATACATTATAGTTCTCTTAAAGAAAACGTTAATGGAGCTTAATTTAACAGATTTTCATTTGTATTAACAGTAAAGGGCTTTATTTAAGAAAAACAGGCTAATACTGTTCAAATCTTGCTGTAAATTTACACCAGTTATTTAAAGTGCATCGCTGTAAAAATTTTGTTTGTGAAATTACAGTAATTTAATGTAGTAAGGATACTGTAAATTTACAGGAATTTACTGGCTACTGAGTTGCGGTAATAATACAGTAAAAATGGTAAATTACAAGAAATTACTGTGATTAGATTATAATATCATATTGTGATTTTACAGTCTGGTTATGGTAAATACATTACTGTGAATTTCATTTGTATTACTGTAAAATAATCACTGTGCAGTACTGTGAATTTACTGCAAATATTAGCCAATAATGTAGTGTAAAATTACAATAATATATTTTACAGTGTGGGTAAATGTGAGGAAAGTTGGAAAAAAAACACTTAGTCGGGCCTGATGTCCCTGTGATGCAGATTCCCACTCCTCATTGGACTCTTGGTCCCCATCTTATTATAGACAAAATAAATAAATTGCAGATATTGTTACTACTGTTTCTTGTGTTCTTCTCTAAGCTCCATTCCCCTTTACTTTAGTGTTGTTTAACAGGGATATTCTCGCTTTTGACTTGACACTGCCTTTTAGTATACAGTGTATATTATACTACATGTAGAAATTTCACAGTACGACATAGCTTTTTACCTGAGGTAATAAACCAGCAGATTTTATATCACTGCACTCTCTCTGCTCATATATATATATTTTTTTTTTGGAGAAACAAAACACATTAAGTTGAGTTCAAGAGTTAAAAAGTGTTAACACACATAAATCTTATGTTTCAATGCGTCTATAGTCACCCAAGAAAATCTGAAGTCGGTCAGACTAATTCTCTAATTCTCTAGATGCAAACACAAGTTTTACATCATGGCTTCATCAATGTGTTAAGGGACAGTTTTGAGGTTGTAAAGTCCAACCTGCTAGGAGTAGTACATTACAGCGTAAATGGTGTCATTTCCTGTTGCCAGCAGGTGGTGCTATGACTTTGAGGGAATATTGGCACATGGATGTGTTCAGGGTGGGACTCTTATTATACATATTGAAGTTATAACAACTTCCTTTTTCATGGCGAATCATCGATTTTTGACAGCACGCCACGGGCCAACTGGTCAACTGGTAATAACTGTTTGTACAACTTTTAATCGTCAACGGGTTTAGACTGCACAACAAAAATTTTAAGTTGATTGGATTAATTCCCTAGGAGGAGTTCGTTAAAGTATAAAGTGTGTAAATCTCCAAAAATGACCAATAAATCCAAAATAGCCAACTTTCTGTTTGGGTTTAGGCTATGGCTCCAAGAGGCTTTTTTGTAAGTCTGTACATGATACATGTGCCACAGAAATTTTGTGCACGTAGCTGAAACTTTGTCCAGGGACATTGAATTTGAAATGAAACAGTTATAATGTGATAAAGTACAGACTCTCAGCTTTAATATAAGGGCATTCACTATGTTGAATGAATATATTTTGGAGTCATGTGTGGATGCCACCTTTGATAAACTCACCTGTAGCAGAAATGGAGGTCTGGACAGATGGAGCTGCTGCATAAAGATAGTTTTCTCCTTCTTCCTCCTGCAGGCCATTCTTGATTGTGTCAAGTGCAGACGAGGGTGGATAACCTTTCTCACAAAGCTCTGTCAGTTTTATGATGGTGGCAGCTGACAATTGTGCGCAGAGCATCAGCACATGCCAACCTGCCAATTCTATAAGCATTGTTCTTAACGTTGGAAAAACTATTTACATGTTTCTGGTCTTTGGGCAAACAAATTCAAGCCAGAAACAGCCAGTACAGAAAAAAATCTTTGCTCCTCTGCCCGCCTACAATGACTTTGGCTGAGTTCAGACCCAATTGGCCACCCTGCCGGTGTGGCCTGAAGTGGACCGGCTGTTCGGGAAACTCCCCGAACTTCCTGATGGCCAGTCCGCCTCTGGCCACAACAACCGTTCATCTGTCTCTGCAAATATATCAGCTTCCAACAGCCTGACATGCTCAGGCATCCATTACATATCCAGCTGCTCTTATTATATATTACATCAGGCCCTATATAACTTTAATACATGATTGCTCAGTTAGAGCCCCCTGGTGGTAGTTAAATATCAAAATATTAAAAAGTTTTAACGTGAAAATCCAGCGTTTAGCCTACAGCGTAGCTACGCACATAACCATGCATTTATACTCGTGCGACGGTGTCTCCATCGTTCTGCAATTACACGGCCAACGCTAGTTGGCGGTAGCGCTGCAGCGTCCACTGTGTTGAAATTTGCTGGCTAACTTCCAGTTTAGCGCTCCGCTAACGTGAATGGGGGTAAAATTGTATTCGTGCGGCTGGTACAACCTTTTCAAATGTTACCGACCGAATGGATCACATTCGATTGAGAAACGAGTCATTTTGCAGTCAACTCAACTGATCCACCGTGTTTCAGCCGCTGGTTTAGCCGCTAATAAAAGTTACTTCAAACAGCTAAAGACAAAAGGTTTTTGGGAATTTAAACACTTGGTTAGCTCTGGACCTGCAATTAGAGGATATTTTTTTCTAGCGTATATTTATTTACATTTTGTCAAACTAGCACCATTAAAATAAAGCAGAATTAGCAGTTCCTGTTTGCAATGTGCCCATGAAGGTACAGGCAACTATAAATTAATTACTTTGAAACTGAAGAAAACAAAACCTGATTATTGTCAGGCATGTTCTGGAGTTACAAGGGTCGCTTATCTCTATGATTTTAATTATATCGATGGACGTTGATTTGCAGTGGACATCGGGGATATCCTTGGAAACAGTGTCACGCTGACATTTATGGAAGACGTACCGCATTACAACTCATCAGATTCAAGTGTCATGACGGCGTGCAGACGAAGTTTGACTTTGTGCCACAACAAGAAACAAAAGAGGACCTTGTAAAGAAATTGTTGAATACTTGCTAGGAAACATTTGGCAATTTGGTAGCGGAAAGATCAGGTACATGCACTGCAGAATAGTAGCCATGTCACAACCAGTCTATCTACATTTTCCACCTCAGCTTTTAATCCACCATGAGCCACTTCCTAGCGTGGCTGCAGTCTTGTTGCTTGTGGTTTAAATACAGCGGTAAGTGGAAGAAATTGTGTATATGATTCAACATTCACTTTGTTTTAAAGCAGCTGCTGTCTTTGGTTTAATGGACACATTTGGGAGCATGACGTGTGTCTGGAAAGGATCACATAGTATAAACATAAGCCTGCTAGTTCAGTTATTTTACTAAATTAACTCAGCAGAAAATACAATTCCCTTTGACAGCCTCTTCTTGCATACTGCTATTTATGTTTTATACCAAAATATAAATATGTCAGGTTGAAAAGAAGAGTTAAGTATTCAAAGCATGTTTATTGAAAATAACTGAATAAATACCAAGACACAATTTCCAGTAACCGAACAGAAGTAGAGTAAATAATACAACTATTTTGTTGTTATTATTATTATTATATAATACCATTTATCGCCTCTCTGAGATCGCATTGTGACAAAATACTGGTTTTAATACTCACCTGGAGGACATTTATGGATTTGAAGTAAAACTTTAAACTTAAGTTTCATAAAGATTTCGCACCAACAAAAGAGAAACAAATGAAGCCCAAATTTGAAAACTCAATTATTATCATTCCTAATCTGAAGGTATCATCTGCTATTTGTGGGAAATCTTAAGAATTGAAATTTTATAATTGTGCAGATATTCAGTCTACAAAATATTTGACAACTTTCAGGTTTTTGTTAAATAAATATTCAGAATATAAATAAAGAAAAAGGAACACATTTTAACACAAGTACAATCTTTGGCCCACATTCTCAAGTGTAATAATCCAGTGTTAATAATCATTTTCAGTTCAGTTCATTTCTTGAAAGCTCAGGCTTCAGACTGCTCTGAATTCCAGGTTTCCAACCTTTTTGACGTCATCTCTTTATAATCGGCTCCAGCAAGAGCATGTCCACGAAGTACAGGGACCTGCCCATCCACATCCGTTCATCCGGTCTCAGTAGTCCACTGCTCTGCTCATAGCGCTTTCTCCAGCACTAAAACGAAGTGTGGAGATGTCTGTTTATACGAGACCACTCTGCTCAGGACTACTCTTCAACATTTTGGAGGTTGTCCAGTATGTCTTGCAGAAAGCTGGTTGTTTTGGTGGTGAATGAAAGTTAATTTCCTGATGGACAGATGGCATCACTTGTTGATAAACAGTTAACTACTGCTAATGTTAGCTGTCGTGAGCTAGTTATCTCAGTTAGCGGTGCAGCTAGAGGTCCCATTAGCTAGCCGACTCTGCCTTAAGTAGGAGCTCAGAGCCCGGTTCTAAAAACCTCCTCCCGTTAGCCCAAAGCTCCAGCGATAGCGGTGTAAACGGTGTAAAGCAGAGGCCTATTAGGGCCACTAGCTTCATGGCTAACTGAGTTTACTAGCTATCGGCCGCTAACGTTACAGTTAGTGGTTACTTTAAAGCCATCTGTCCATCTAGAGACTTCATAAAAATATGAGCCAGTTTCACCAAAGTCAATGAATAAAGTCTGGTACCTACACTGATCCCCAGAAACACTAGCGTCTACCGTCTACCAGCCCATATCCTTGTCTCAAATGTGTTCTAATAAACAGTAAATTCATCAAAGTCCTGCATAATTAAAGGCATGGCTGCTCTGAGTGACAAGAGTCTAGCCAGACTTCATTCGGCCCTTCTCGGCTCCACCTCTTTGCCCATTTTTGGATTAGCCGCGAGTAAGGCGCGTCAGGCTGTGAATAAAAATACAGAGCTGGATATGAGGACAGCAGGTCCCCTTTGAGAGCTTCTCTATTGTTTTGGCATTTCAGCACTGATGGCAAACTTACATATGACAAATATCTAAAGATATATTTTTCGCAAGTTTTAAGGTTAAACAGAAATATTGTTCATTAAAAGGTTGAAAGGTTTAAATTACTTAAATTAGAAAATCGTGGAACAAAGAATAAGTAAACACCAAGAATCTGACCAATAGTTGGCACTTTGCGATACTTGATTCTACAGATTCAGCTCAGTTTGAGAAGTGTTAAGATTAGAGAGCAGAAAAAGCAACTATAGCGGCAACAGGCACTTTCTGTTGTGCAGTTTGTAGTTGTGGCCTTTTGTTTACGTCACCACTGCTCCGCTCCGTCGCCTGTCAGAGGAAGACGTCCATGGTCTGCGTGATGGGCTGCCGGCAGAGCGGACAACAGCGCTGCTGGCTGGGTCTGCGTTGGGTCAGGATGTCGGCGCAGTGCCGGCAGAGGCAGAGGTGACGGCAGGGCAGCAGCAGCACCGTTTTGCTGAAGTCTTGACAGATTACGCACTTCTTCCTCTCCTCCTGCTCCTTCAGCAGGTTGAGCAGCTCGCCATCAGACGGGGGGCTGCCGCCATCCTCTTGAGCGGAGTTTGGCAGGGACGTATTAGTCCTGCTGCCGCTCGCTAGCTCGCCGTCCTGCTGAGTGTGGAACTGCAGAGAGTTTGGCTGGCTTAGCTCATTTGCTGGTAACACATCAGTCTCAGTGATTAAAGTGTCTGTGTGTGAAAGCCCAGATCTACTCACTTCCTGCGCCGTCCTGGTGTGGACCTCTTGATTGGCCAGAGCTTGTTCCAATATCATGTGAACGCCACGAGCGCCCGGCAGAGTGTTGACCAAACGGAGGCTCAGCCGTCTGGCGAGGACAGGAAGCCAGGGATTCAGTAACAGCAGAGCCACTGAGATGATGGCCGCTGTGATGAGCAGGCCGTGTGAGTCAACAATGAAAACAGTGATGAAGACCCGACCCAGTGCTCCCACGAAGTCCAGCAGCAGCTGGCAGGGCGTCCACAGCAGCACGGACGCACCGACCAAACAGCTGTACAAGAAGGTCAGCAGAGTCAGAGCCAGCTCCACCACTTTGTGAAGGGGGTCCGCCACCACCTCCCAGACGCACGCCAACACAGACAGACAGTTCTGCATGCTGATGAGGACGATGTTGACCACCGTGTTGACAAAGTAGAGGACAAGGCTGAGCGCGATGCACAGACCTTCGCACGTCTGTCTCAGGATGCAGCTCCCGGAGATAAACCCTCGGTGCAGCACGTCCTTGACGCGCCACGCCACGTGACAGGAGAGGTGTCCCACCATCTTAAAACTCTCAAACACTCCTCCCAGAGTCTGCAGCCAGCCCTCCACAACATGCAAGACTCCACAGGCGGCACCGGAGACGGCCTCGGTGGCGGTGAGGAAGGAGAAAAGAGCAAAGTCCGAGTATTCAACCAAAGTGGAGCCGCTCAGGGCGACCAGCGTGTTGTGGAATGAAGCAGCCACGCCGGACAGGAAGCGCAGCAGCCAGCTGAACGTCCTGACGACCAGGTCGAGCAGCAGGCAGCAGGCGTCCACACATCTCCCAACAGCAAGAGAGACAAAGTTCACTTCATCCATTTTAGGCTGGAGAGAGGAGGAGGAGCGGAGTTAGAGCAGCACAATATATCTGTCATCTTAAATGCAACAGTCAGTACCGGTTTCAGAATATCTACTTTACACAGGGAGAAATATCAAAATCCCATTATCCCTTTAAGTGTATTGGCCATCTGGTATGGATGCCCCCTGGGATCCTCCGGTCAGAGCTGGTTAATGTGGCTCAGGAAAGGGAAGTTTGGGAGTTGCTGCCCCCGCGGTTTGAAGATGGCTGGATGGATGCATTTCTCTGTAAATGTGGGTTATTTAGACTAAATTAAGTTTATATCTGAGTCATTCTAAAGTCTGCAGTAAAAATAATCACATTGGCAAGACGAAGGTCCTCAGCCAGAATCGAACCAGGTATATTGCAGTTACATGTAATTGGCCCAAATCATCAGGTTACTACACAACCAGGATTTACCACATATTAAATCAGTGGAAAATAACTTTACAATCAGTCTAAATAGAATACTTTTTTAAAAACCCAAATACTACCTGATAATTAATAAGCTGAGCGATATCCTGTTTGTCCCTGTTAGATATTTACGGGTGTCTAAAATGTGCGCCTTGTTTCAGTGGACAGAAATTGAGGTGATGAATTAAAAGAACATTGGTGAAGCTCAAAATCTGTTTAAACGAGTGTTGCCGAGTTTAAGAAAAGCTGTTGTTGATTCATGGGAAGTACTTAAGTTATACCTTCGTTTATCACTTACGTTTGTGCATTCTTGTAAACTGAAAATAGACCGATTTCTAAAGGGAGTTTGGAATTTAAACAGAACTTTAGCATTAACAGAGCTACTAGCAAACCCCAGTGAGACTGTCAGTGGACAGACAGCACACGTCTCCCCATTAAGGAACTGCCACATCAATTTATTCATCAATATTGTATATATTTATATTATATGTATTCTTTATGTCTGAAGCCTTCGTTGTCACACGCTAACGTCGCAACGTTACCTAGCAAACCACACCCATTAGCGTTAGCTAGCAAGTTAAAAAATAAACAATAAAAAACATTCTTACCAACTTTCGGGGAAGAACAGACTAATGCCCGTTTTAAATTAACACGACTCACCGTGGCAACATTGCGCAGACAGATTAAATCACTGGTACGCGGATACAAATACAAGTTTTAGCCGTGATTTGCTTTTTTCAACATGTTTTCATTACGAGCTTCCTCGTTTTCTTCTTCTTCGTTGTGTTATTGGGGCGTCCTCTTTCTTCTTCTTCTTTGGGTTTCTACGGCAGCTGGCATCCATTGAGTTGCATTACTGCCACCTTCAGGTTTTATTCACCCTTTGCTTCCATTCATACTAAACCCGCTTATCTAATCCGCCCTCTGAAAACCAAATATCCATTTCCTGCCCTCCACACTTTCTCCACACTCCAATAAACTTTTTACTGTATTATCTATCTGTCCTATTTTTTTTAACTGTTATTATTTCTCGTCTTTCCTGAGTAAATTTCCTGCATGTTGTAAGAATATGTTCTGCTGTTTCAGCCTCCTGACATTGTTCGCACATTCCTGTAGGATGTTTTCCTGTAATCTAAAGTGCGCTGTTAAGATTGCTTTGCCCAATTCTCAGCCTGCTTATTATCGCCTGCTCTTTCCTCTTTGCTTTGGATTTTCTGTAAATGTCTCCCTTTTATTGCGTTATCCCAGCTCTGTTGCCATTGTTGATTTAAACTTCTCCACACTATGCCTTTCCCCTCTGATTTTGATAATTTAATGTTGACTTCAACATCTCCTTTTTTAACTGCTTCTTTTTCCACCTTATCTGCTTTCTCATTTCCCTGAATTCCCGACCCACAGAAATATGACATTTCCCCCTGCTTAGCTATTCTTGAGTTCATAAAGCAAGTCCAGGTGACTTCTAGTTGTGCATGTCTTCATGCTTATAAGAGCTGACACAGAGTCACTACATATTAATATTTCCTTATCACTAATTTGTTCTGTCCATTCCAACGCCATCAACATGGCAAACAGTTCAACTGCAAACACACTCAGACAATCAGATGTTCTTTTGGAACAACAACTGCAGACCCTGTTGCATCTGTTTGCATGTCCTTTGACCCATCTGTGAAAATCTGAATACTTTCCTTATACTTACATTCCCTATAGCTAAAATATACACTAGTTTTCCAGACAATTCCCCGACAGGTCTGATAGGCCACACCACATTTGCGCCAAACTCTTTGTCATATACTCCTGTATCCTTTGCCATTTGCTCTCCTGTCCACCCAAAACTTGTTTTTTGTGTTGTCTGCTTCTCCCAGCACGTCTGCAGCACCCTTTTTGCTGGATGGCTATCTCCATGCCCTCTTAAATTGACCCAATAATTATCCCCCAGCTGCTTCCTCCTCAAACACAATGGCATTTCACCTGCTTCTACTTGGAGAGCTGGGGAGGTTCTAACTGCTCCTACGCACACTCTTAAAGCCCGAGCTTGTATAACATCCAGGTCTGCTAACACAGATTTGGCTGCCGAACCAAATACAATACTTCCATAGTCTAACCTTGATCTTATTAAGGCTATATTTCTTCTTCTTCTTTTTATTGTAACGACTTTTAAAGGTGCATACCGCCACTTACTGCACCGGAGTGTGAATCATGAATTATGTTTAATGGGATTACTTCATCATCATCATGAAAGTAAAAAAACCTAAATGCTATAATATATCTCTATATTCTTCAGATATTGCACAATAGCTTTCTGGGTGCCCTTTATCCCATCTCGTGTTATTCCTAAATAACCTTCAAGGTTCCTGACCTATCTTTTGACTCAGCCGTATCCGCTCATCCATACATCTCCTGCACTGAAACAGTATGTTTTCCGTGACTTTACAAAAATTTATCTGATTGACTTTTACCTAATACAAACAATGTTTTATTTATTTAAACCTTAGTCTGGTTAAAACGCTCCTCTCTTATTCCTTCTAGTCCACTAGTACCACATCTATCTAAAGCCTCTGTAATCTAAATAAATTTTGGATTACTGATACATCTTCTGTATTAGATTTGATATTTTGACTACTGTAAAGGGCTGCTACATCGCTGCCGTGTACACTGACACCTGATCAGGCAATCTTTTCCCAGTGCTTACATTTCTTTTTGGAATATATTATTTTTATTCCTAACTTGTCCTCTTCATCTTTGGACCCGTCTGTATAAATATCTAAATAACTGTAACTTCTATTTTGTATAGGCTTCGCCCTCTAAGAGCTGTCGCTATTGGGTTCATCCCCGCGCGCATGCGCAGTCCTGAAGATTTCTTTCGCGCCCATGTGCCGTGCACGGGCCTCTCTCAGGTCCGCAATTTAGGTATATAATACCGGCGAGACCAGAGATCTGCTCCCAAGAGGTCAGCTTTTTTTCTTCAGCCGACGCTGGTGGGACCAGTCGGGCCCGCAGCTTAGAGGGCTACGCCTATACTCATAGAATCTGGGGTTACAATACGTAACCAACGTTCTATTTCGTATAGGCTTCGCCCTCTAAGAGCTGTCGCTATTGGGATAAGGGCGAAGCCAGATGTAGTCAATGCCCACTGGACCCCCAGCGGTCATAAGCATTAACACACCAGCTCACAGTACCCTCCTGCCGAAAAAGGTGGCTTTAGGCAGCAGGATGGCTGCCAGGCTGGGCTCCAGAGGTGGAACAGAGGGAAACCCACGGTCAGTGAGGCCCTCAACCTTCGTGAAGTTGACGTACCTCGCCACCGGCGCCTTCAGCTTCCCAGGCTCGGCCCCCGCTTCGGAGAGAAAAGGCTGAAGCGGGGGGAAAAGGGGCCACACAGGAACCTGTTTGGACGCTTGCTCTGGCTGGTAGATGTCGCCGAGCATGGCGCTAGGAGCAGGTGCAGGAGGCTCAGCAGGTATCGGCACGCCCTTGCGCTCAGCAGCCGTCTTGATTATGTCGGGGAGATCCCGGAAGAGAGCCCCGCAGGACGGCAAGCTGGAAGGCGGAAGTGGAGCAGGAGCCAGCGACGCCGCCTTCTCATCCAAGTCAAACTCCAGGTCTTCCAGCGGGAAGAGGGGAGAGCCTGGCGGGGAGCCAGCAATGGAGGGAGCAGAGTCAGAGGACTCGAGCTCTGCATCGCCAGCAGTCCCGCCGGCGAGGTCCGCCGTGAAGCTAACTGGCTTAGCCCAGCTAGCTTCGTCGTCCTCCTCCTCCTGCAGGGCCGCGAAGGCGTCGACCCGCCGTCGCTTCTCCTCCACGGGCAGCTGTGCGCAGTAGGGGCACGAGGCCCGGGGAGTCAGAGCCAGGCCAGCGTGCTGGGGACCGAGGCAGGTCTCGCAGCGGGCGTGGAGATCAAACCCCATGATGTAGCCGGCGTGGCAGGACGGGCAGAGGCGGACTCCTTCCGAGCGGCGGACCTCAGCGGTAGAGCGGTGAGTAGCCATAGGAAAAGCTCTTTAGTCAGGAAAATTGCTCTTTAGATGCTACTCTGCTCTCCGAATGACTGCTATGCAGCGCTGAAGAAAAAAGGGGAGCAGATCTCTGGTCTCGCCGGTATTATATACCTAAATTGCGGACCTGAGAGAGGCCCGTGCACGGCACATGGGCGCGAAAGAAATCTTCAGGACTGCGCATGCGCGCGGGGATGAACCCAATAGCGACAGCTCTTAGAGGGCTACGCCTATACTCATAGAATCTGGGGTTACAATACGTAACCAACGTTGTTATCAGTCCACAACCACACAATAAATAATTACATAAAAATTGGCCAAACAATTTGAATGTTAGCTTTCACACATTGTAACATCAGCATTATAGCTGTAACTTTAGCTGTGTTAGCCAACGTTTACAACAACTCCGCACTTGAACAGTCTGTGAAGTTACATTGCCGTGTTTATTTTAAATATAATTCACAACCAATAAAGCATATTAGCACTGTTTTCAGGATTCTTTTCTTCTATTCATTGTTTTCATTTTTGTGACGACACAATGTCACAAAAACAAATACAAGCACAGCACATTATATATATAGAACAACTGAATTAAGATCAGCAGTGACTCTGTGACAGATTATTTTCTTTGAACAATAAGAAAAACAAGGCTGTGACTTAGAGACTGAAATATTAATAATAACGGAACAAACGCTACAATTACATTTTATTTTGAAATCCCATGCAGAGTGAACCGGAAGTTTTGTGGTTAATACCGGGACTTGACGTAAACCCTTTTCTGATTGGGTGATCATCGGCACGCTCACTCTGGCCAATCAGGGAGCAGCTCTTACACATATATATGTGGTTTCGGCGGCTTGTAGGACAAAACTTTCTCGTACTCGAAAGAATCAACGCGCAAAATGTCTGGAAGAGGTAAAACCGGAGGCAAAGCCAGAGCAAAGGCCAAGACCCGCTCCTCCCGCGCCGGGCTGCAGTTCCCCGTCGGTCGTGTCCACAGGCTGCTGCGTAAAGGAAACTACGCCCAGCGCGTCGGTGCCGGAGCCCCCGTGTACCTGGCGGCGGTGCTGGAGTACCTGACCGCTGAGATCCTGGAGCTGGCCGGAAACGCCGCCCGCGACAACAAGAAGACCAGGATCATCCCCCGTCACCTGCAGCTGGCCGTCCGCAACGACGAGGAGCTCAACAAGCTGCTGGGCGGAGTCACCATCGCTCAGGGCGGCGTGCTGCCCAACATCCAGGCGGTCCTGCTGCCCAAGAAGACCGAGAAGCCCGCCAAGAAGTAAACAACAACAACCACAAACACAACGGCTCTTTTAAGAGCCACACATCTCAAACTAAAGACACACTTCCTGCTCATGTTTCATGATAAACAGTTTATCCACCAGATCCTTTTTACAATTTACTCAAATTTAGCGAGGCTTCATCATCAACCATCAGTTTACGTGTGTCTGCAGCTCAACGTACCTCCTGAGTCTGACTGTACAACATCGTCCTTATTCACTAGTACTTGGTCCATTAAAGTTGTAGATACCAGTTTACTATACACACTACCTTGACATGTAGTGACAATTTCCCTTCAGGAAACAGATTCTTTAGACGTTTGTCAACCTTATTCTGTTCACATGTCATGAATTTGTTACTGCATTTTCACTTACAGGTGTTCAGTTTAACTTAGGAAACAAATACATGATCATTAGAGGAAGGAGCTCCTGAGTACTACATGTTGTCTGAGGCAGCTTTTTATTAAAGCACAGAGGCTTCCTCACATGTGGCTTCCATAAAGTCATAATTGCTGATTTCAGCTTACTTGAACTTGTTGATGAAATATTGAATTTCTGTAAATAAGAAGATACATTTTCTTGCTGTGATCATTAGGTGTTTGAACAGTAATATATAGTGGTTTTCATGAACATGATCAGAGGAAGGAGCTCTTGAGCTTTAGTGAGGAGGCTCTTAAAAGAGCCGTTGTGGTGTAAAGAGGTGTGGGGGGGGTTTAAGCCCTCTCTCCGCGGATGCGTCGGGCCAGCTGGATGTCTTTGGGCATGATGGTGACCCTCTTGGCGTGGATGGCGCACAGGTTGGTGTCCTCGAAGAGGCCGACCAGGTAAGCCTCGCTGGCCTCCTGCAGAGCCATGACGGCGGAGCTCTGGAAGCGCAGGTCGGTCTTGAAGTCCTGAGCGATCTCCCTCACCAGGCGCTGGAAGGGCAGCTTGCGGATCAGCAGCTCGGTGGACTTCTGGTAGCGGCGGATCTCTCGGAGAGCCACGGTACCGGGCCTGTAGCGGTGGGGCTTCTTCACTCCGCCGGTGGCCGGGGCGCTCTTACGGGCAGCCTTGGTGGCCAGCTGCTTCCTGGGAGCTTTTCCTCCGGTGGATTTACGCGCGGTCTGCTTGGTTCTGGCCATTTCAGTCTCGCTAACTTGTCCGTGTTCACAGATAAAGAAGAATCCCGACAGGCTGCGAGCAGCGGCTTTATAAAGGAAGAGCGGGCGCGACGACGGCGCTGATTGGTCCAGGCCGAGAGGAGCTGCTATTGGCCAAAAGAAAAATTCAAACTGACCAATCATCCACAGCAGCTGGCCAAGAAAGAAACAATGATTTTAGATTGAAAACAACATGTTAGAAATATTACATCTTCAAAACTTTTGGAGACTAAAGTTACATTAACAAAGTTTTTCCACATTTCAAGATAAGATGAGATACAGAAGTAAATAAGTAAAAAAAAAAAAAATTGATCTGAAGTTTATAAAACATAATAATTATGGAAATAAAAATAGAAGCACAAGAGCAAAATCACAAGATGAGCATCATAAATAAAGTAACGACCAGTTTTACTTAAACTAAGAGACTGTGTCATGTGAAGTCAAAGCAAATTCCTCGTCCATATAAAATATTATGTTCGGCTCTTTCTGATTCTGACGACACGCTGGTGTGATGAGCAAAGTAAAAGAGCAGGAGTTCCCAAAGCTTTCAGATGGAGACCCAGCAGAGACTATTGGTGTCTGTCCTGGACCCAGACTCACAAAAATACATCAGTGAGTGTCACAACATCTACATTCATAAACTCCTGATAAAGATCACAACAAACCATGAATTCAAAATCTATATGTTAGAGCTTGTGTCGTGTTTCACTTCTCCACAACCTTGAAAAAAGTTACCTCAGGTCGGTAATCGTTGGTTACGTATTGTAACCCCAGATTCTATGAGTATAGGCGTAGCGAGTTTTGGCTCCACAAAGGAAAGAGTGAAAGTGCCACATAGAGAAAAACAACACTACACAAAAGAAGGAGGGAGGACTAGACTGGAAAGTTGTCCTTGATTTCTCTAATGCAATAATTTAGCACCGGAGCCTAATAATAAGCACGTTTTCAAACTCAAAAGGTCCAGGTCCAACATTACCAGCTGGGTTTACAGGTCATGCTGCAAACTGGGAGTGTTGGAAGAATCCAAATGATCAATATCACAAGTAAAATCCAGAACTGAAGGAAAATTACACAAGTATCTACATTTTACTAAAATTACTAAAGTAATAAAAGCTTACTAATCAGCGAAATTAGTACATTTAGTAGTACTACTAGCTACTTTTGTGCTTTAAACCATTAAACAGAAAGTGAAGTCAATTTAAATAATATTAGGTTAAATAGATCATTAGTTTTGTAGAAATCACTTAGAGAAAGTACAATCCAATTTGTTTCTCTTAATTCCAAACAGTAAAAAGTTTATTCCATTTAGTTGTCATGTATCAACATCACCATCATTTAAACAAAAGTATAATCAGTAGATATCAATCAAAATATCAAGGAAGCTCAAATTATTTCCTTTCCCCTGAACATACATTTCAAGATGGATCAAACCTCTTTTGTACAAATTGAAATAAATGGTGGTTTTTAATCTCTAATTCCAAATGTAACCTACATTTAAGTGTCTGTAAAGAGTTCCTGTTTGGTGTAAAAAATAACATCTGGTTGGTGTAACAGCTGATAAAAGAGAAAGGTTTGTATTTTCATGCTTTTTCCTTTTGGTTTAGATTTGAGCCAAAAACTGATATGCAACTTTTTTTTCTCTGTACATAATAAACTTGATTCATATTTTGGATAAATGTCTTACTCATAAAATTAAATGGTTTAAAAGACTTTACTTAAAAAAATGAAATAGTTTTTTTTTGACTGTGGATTGCTCACGATGTGCTTACTCATACAAAAATACAAAACCCCAATAATAAAATAAAATCAGACACAGACTTCAGTGTAGACAACACAGATACACACTATGAACAAAAACAATATAGACATATTGACAAATAGTGCAGTAATCAGAGTGCAAAGGATGCAGGAATAAATACGTATTTTGTGCAGGAGTAATGACTTGAAGTATGTGGATTTGGTATCCAGTATCTACAATATAACAGTATGAACAGCACTGAAGTAAATAACACACAGGTTCAAAATCCACCATCAGATTTATTTATATCATCCAAAATAAGAACTCGGTTTCAGCTGCCTTGATATTCTGTAGGACACGACGACTAGCAGGGCTGTGAAGAGACAAGACTTGATATTCGGTCCCTCCAGGATTCTGCGGGCATTTTTACTGATTGTTCCGCTCGAACATGTCAGACTTTTTGGCCGCTTTTCTATAAAACTGCAATAAAAGTTGTAAAGATTTGGGTCAGTTTTTTGCGACGAAATTGTGGGAATAAGTGAAATCTTCAAAGGTAGATGTGATCTTTTAATCATTGACTAACGTCATCATTTAATGAAAATTCATCATTTGTTTGATTTAATATCCCTTCAGACAAAGGAACCGCCCCTTTGGGACTGTACGTTAGGATGACAGACACGAAAACAAAACTAACTGAAAACACTCAGAAATCACCAGAAATCCACACAGATATTAATTTCAGCACCTCTGATAATGATCGTCAGGTTGAAATCATGCGATCCTGTTACTGCAGATAACAATAATGAATGTTTCTGTCTTCTGCCACACAGAGTGATCATATCTCACCGTAATCTGCTTCAGCTGGTGTGGAAACCTCTTTCTCTGTTTGTAACACAGATAATATTGTTCTACAGCATAATGAAATCCTGATGAATGAAATGTCATATAGCTTAATAAATAAAAACAAAGATAATGTGGTTTACAGCAGGGTCATAGTTGGGGAGAAGAGTGACTGTTATAAAGAGTAACGTGCACACAGGACTTCATCAGATTCAGTTGGTAATTCTCCTTCAGCAGCTCCATGAACAGACAGGAGAGGAAACAGCATCACCTGGTGGTAAAAAAACACACAGATGTTGCTGATGAATCATTTTCAGCAGCTGGTTTGCCTCGAGGACAGAATGTTGCACCTTCCTCGTTAGTATAGTGGACAGTATCTCCGCCTGTCACGCGGAAGACCGGGGTTCGATTCCCCGACGGGGAGAAACTTTATTTAACTGGCTGGAAGATCTGATTCTGACAACAATCTCTCACGTTTTTCAACTTTCTTCAGTTGATTTATCTGTATTGCACAATGTGAAACTTCTGAACTGAAAACAACCTGCAGACCGTTTTAGTAGGAGACACGTTAGGAAAATCAAGCGTTACAGGGAGTATGTAGGCAAAATATAGAGGAAATGGTGCAGGTCAGCTTGTGATGTGATTCACACCTTTTGAGTTGAGAGAGACGTAGTAGTTGTATAATCAAGTGAATCATGAGGAAGGCAGCTCTGAGTTGAAGCAGTGGGTGGCCCTGAAAAGGGCCTTTGTGTTGCTGGGTGTAGCAGCGGGTTTACTTGGAGCTGGTGTACTTGGTCACGGCCTTGGTGCCTTCAGACACGGCGTGCTTGGCCAGCTCACCGGGCAGCAGCAGGCGGACGGCGGTCTGGATCTCCCTGGAGGTGATGGTGGAGCGCTTGTTGTAGTGAGCCAGACGGGAGGACTCGCCGGCGATGCGCTCAAAGATGTCGCTCACGAACGAGTTCATGATCAGCATGGCCTTGGACGAGATGCCGGTGTCGGGGTGGACCTGCTTCAGGACCTTGTACACGTAGATGGCGTAGCTCTCCTTCCTGGTCTTCCTCTTCTTCTTGCCGGTCTTGGAGACGCTCTTAGAGACGGCTTTCTTTGAGCCCTTCTTCGGAGCCTTAACTGGATCAGGCATCTTCAACTTCGTAGTAGTTCTCAACGAATAAGTCTGAAGCGATGAGGCGGAACATTTATATGCGCTTGATGCAAATGACACTGTGCTGTTCCTCGTACAGGATTGGCTGAGATTTAAACAAGACTGCGCATGCGCCACACAAGAAATAATTAAACATCTCTGTGAGAAGTGAATAAAGATGTGAAGGTCAACAGATAAACACAGTAACACAGATTTAAGTTTATTTATTTTAGCGGTGGAGAAAGTATTCAGATACTTTAATTCACTAAAAGTACTAATATCACACTATGAAATATGTCCTGTGACTGTTAGATTATTATATATTCCTGTATTATTGTTATTATTTATCATGTATTCGTGTAAAAGCAGGAGCTCATTTTCAAATATTTTGTATCGGCTGCAAACAGCAATTATTTTCATTATGGGTTAACCTGGTTGTTTGGTTTGTAAAAAATCTGAAAATAGTAAGAAATACCACCCAGAGCCCAAAGCGGCAATTTCACAATGCTTTTCATGTCCAACTGAGAGTCAAAACCTCAAAAATAGTACAAATAAAGGTAAATCGATAAAGAAAAAAGCAGCAAATACTCACATATGTGAAGTTTAACCATGAAAACTTTGGCCTATTAGCTTAACTTAAATATAGCTGCCAAATTATTTTCTATCAAACAACTAATCATTTCAAACACCAATCATTTCAGCTCTGCTTGTAAAAACTATTGGGTAGTTTAAATTATAACAAAACTTTTAATACCTAAGTAACTATTAATAAAGATCTCAAATAATTGTAGTGAAGTACAATATTCCTCCCTGATAAGTAGTGGGCAGAAGAAAAAGGTGCCATTCAAGAAAATTCTTAATAAAGTGCTTAATGAGTAAATGTACTGAAGTTACACACTGTGTGCCTGAAAGAGTTTGGTAGGCTGTAATTCTAATATTGATCATATCCACATGGGTAGGGCTGTAATTCAGTACTGATATGTTCCTGTAGGTACAAGGGAACAAGATGTGATATTAGGATATAAGTGGGTTACAATGTGGGACTTTAAAATAAAGATATTCTGTAGGTATTTCTAACTAATGGGTACTATTCTGTAGAAACCTACTGAGCAACAAAGCTAATATTGTGTAATGAGTCCTACATAATGTGACCTTTTAGATAACTCAAATATGTTTATAATTTACCATTGAATTGTTTTGTATTTAAATGCGTTTGATTAACAGTGACAGGAAGACAGATTCTGATAATGCAATCACCTCAAATTGTGACATTTCTCTCCAGGACAGCAGCTGCGTTAATGATACTTTAGTATGGATTGTGAAAAATACTTAAAATCACTCTACTCTAATAAGTGGTTGTAAACTGATGTAATTTAAATTGCACACGTCGTCCTAGAACAGCATGCTGAATCATCATTAAATGCATACTTCCCATTTGCAGCAGTGCTACAGTAATGATGGTCTGAGCCAAATGTTTGCGTTTACTCTGCTGTCTCATGCACAGATGAAGGTCACCAGACTCTGCAAACAGTTCGATTTTATCACTGACAAACACTTCAGCCCAGTTCTTCTCTAGTATGTTAGACTTGGCATTTTAATTCAATTTTATTTATATAGCGCAACAACAGTTATCTCACAGCGCTTTTCATAAAAGAGCAGGTCTAGACCAAACTCTGTGATGATATTTACAGAAGCCCAACAGTTCCCACCAAGAGCAGCACTAGGAGACAGAGGCAAGGCATACATAGCCTGTATGTAAATGTGATATTGTAGGTGGTTCTTTGTTGTGGGAACTCATTTTGTAATTTAGTTTCCTCATCCCTTTGCAATAGCAGTTTTGAGTCTATTTAAATCATTAGCACTTGGAATCCCCATTTTGTGGAATTTTCTGGATTCACAGTGTAGCAGTTTATAAATTAAGAAATCATCTCTTTAGATGAGGTGTGCGGCCCTTAAAAGGGCCTTTGTGTTTCAGTGGGTCTGGACCGGGTCTGGACCGGGTCTAGCCTCCGAAGCCGTACAGGGTGCGGCCCTGCCTCTTCAGAGCGTACACCACGTCCATGGCGGTGACGGTCTTCCTCTTGGCGTGCTCGGTGTAGGTGACGGCGTCGCGGATGACGTTCTCCAGGAAGACCTTGAGCACCCCGCGGGTCTCCTCGTAGATCAGACCGGAGATCCGCTTCACTCCGCCGCGGCGAGCCAGACGGCGGATGGCGGGTTTGGTGATTCCCTGGATGTTATCACGGAGCACTTTACGGTGACGCTTAGCGCCTCCTTTACCGAGTCCCTTTCCTCCTTTGCCTCTTCCGCTCATCTTTCAGCTTTACTCGTTGAACAAACAGGTGAACTTAAAGGGCGACACGCGCTTTTTACATCTTATCTGCGGACGTAGAAGAGGACAGAAGGCGCGAGTTCCGCTGGGCGGTGCCAAACTCCTCCTACATCTTTAGCAGCCATCTTAAAGACAAGAATGATTCCTTTTGATTATCTTGTTGAATTATTTTCACGTTGGTCTAACAATTTTATAATAAAACTTACACAAAAATAATAAATGTATTTTTTTAAATAATGCAGAACATCAATTCCTGATAAGTCACATATTGCATATAGATATTTATTTGTAATGTGGTTATAAAGGTTAGTTTGCTGTCCATGTAGAGTGAACTATGCATGTTTTTAAATGTTCTGATAATGATAATCCAGCACATCTTTATTATTTGTATGTATAAATATTGAATTACATTTTTTACTTTACATTTTAAGAAATCTAATATATAAATAGTATTTTAAATAATGCTGTTACTAAAAAAGAACCTTAGTGTAATTAATCTCATATTAGATAAATATTGGATTGTATTCATTGCTTTTAGTTTGGACTACCTTAGTTAATTGATGCTTTTGGCCAAAGTGAATCAGAGGAAACACATTCAACCATGTGAAAAACAATAATAACAAGATTTTTGTTAATGTGACAACATGGCTGTAAATCATAAAGCCCAGAGATTTGATCTTTCCATACATTTATTCATTTAGCTGAGGCTTTTATCAATGAAGAGCTTCTTGCTTTGCTGCTCCTCCTCATGTATTTTAATTTGGCCATCCTAAATACATTTTAAAATAGACTATTTCAAAGTTTAAATCATTTAAAAACTGATGCTTGCTAATCTGGATCCTGATTCACACCAGGCTGCTTTTCAATATGGGGAAATGTGATTGTTATATTCTGAATAAACTGTGTAGGCTACTGCTCCTCAGACACTATTTTGAAATCGGAGGATTACAAGCAACAATATCTTTGTGACACATTAAATGCATGGTCACATATTTGGTTCAATTTAATTTAATATATTTTGTAGCATGTTACTTATTACTTTAGAACTATTATTATTACTATTATTGTTTATCGCTCTCTCTCTCTCTCTCTCTCTCTCTCTATATATATATATAAATATATATATATATATATATATATATACACATATATAAATATAGAGGATCTCTGTTCCCGAAAACATAGAAACCTAGACTGTGTAAATGGTTATGCATCCCTTGCTCGGAGCCAGACGCTTGAAATTGTACCCTAGGCGGCAGGTCTCTGGACCAGCTGTATACGTAATAATACTTCTCTGTTTATTTTCTTTTATTAATAAAATAATATGGATATTGGTTTGTTGTAGCTTAATTATTTGCTTAATCCCTCACCAGCAATATACGATCCTCCAAGTCCTCTGAGGCGTTTGTATTATAAATATGTATGCCACTTCAGACTGTAGGGGGACAAAAGCACACAAGAAATAAACAAGCATAGTGAATTGTTAATGTTTTTTGTTTAAGCTGTTTTTATGATTCACTACACTAGTGATGTGTTGATAACACACTCTCACCTTAAAGACTGACAGCAATGGCAACACAAAAACGCCATTTTTATATACAATTTATTGTTTTAACCAGACCTCCTCCATTTTTCATCCACCTGACAAAATGATAACTGCAGCAGCAAACAGTTGATTTACAGTTAACAAATGGACAATAGTAGATTTTAAATTGTGTTTTCTCTGAACATATGTGTAAATATCTAAGAAGCCTAAATGTAACCAGAGACGTTTTGATGTATCTCACTACTTGATAAAATATGTTTGCTGCTGGTACAGATGCTTCGCTGTCTGTCCTGATCTCCTTACATTTACCAAAAAAGGGAAAACAGCGCCACCAAAATCCCGCTATTGGCCATAAGTATATCACGCGCTCGCGTTTAGGTGTAGAGGACAATCTCTTAAGCCCTTCGAATCCATCTGTGGCTCAAAATATTTTGCTGCAGAGAATTTGCATAATTCAAAACAATAACATTTTATTGCAGAGTTTTATGAAAGGTAAATTAAGGCACATCAATAGATGTCTCAGCTCAGCATATGAATATACATGTTTGATTATTTAATTTTCTGTAACAATTACTATCAAAGTAAAGACAATTACACAATGCTTTCAAGGTATTTTTATTGAAACTCTGACGCTGAATCCTGAATAATTACACACACAAAATCAAAACAAATTCCTAGTAGTAGTATTCCTAGTAGTTATAATCAATTAAGTAATTTTCAATCAAAATAACGTTCTCTCTCTCTACTGATTGCTGATTTTTTTTTGTTCTGTCTCTTTTATTATAAGCTGAAAATCTTTTGGTTTCAGACTGTTGGACACCTGAAGACTATAATGACAAATAAATGAAAATAATTGATTATCTACACAAATGAAATGAAAGTTCAAGTAAGGATTTCCCGAGGTGATCTACAGGCTCCAGATCAGGGCCAGTGCAGGTGTTTGGATCAATACAGTCTAGGTATAGGCTATTCAGACTGATGCAAACAAAAGTTCAAACACTGACCGCACAGTTAAGAGAGAGTGACCCACTGAGCCACAACATAAGTTAAACAACAGCCACAATCAGAATGCATTGTATTTGGTATTAAGCTGAGCAAAGTTTCAACCTGGAGCTTGGAGGCAAGTACACAAGGACATCAGTGAA